CCATGGTGAGGGGGCGGCTTTATCCTTGGGAATGTTAGGCGGCTAAGAGCAAAGGGTTCACACATACATCTATCACTCCCCTCCCCCTAGGAATTTCTTTTCCCCCTTTTGTTATGACAACCCCCCCCCCCCCCCATTTTCAGTTCTTAAAAACAAGGGGAAATATAGGGACCAATGAAAGATGTTGCATGGATTCTGTGCTCGTTTGGGGCATTTTACAAGGAGGATCAATATGGCTGCACAACTTTTCCTCTTCTGAATTCTGCGATTCTAACTTTCAGTGCCTGTCTATGACAGCAGTACAGAGACAGAACGGTATCACTCTGCCGCATCCGTAAACGCCATTGGATAATGGTGGATTCCTTTAATATAAGATTTTTATTGATTCCTAATTTGATTTAATAAACTCAGACTCAGGTGGTGTTTGGTATAAATTATGAACGAGATTTTCAATTCACGATGACAGATATGTTGACTGACAGCCACGTTAGCCAATTATGTTTATTTATTGATGGGTCTGTTAATAAATAATTATCTCAGCGGGCCAATAGAAAGTAGCATAATCCTGGCGGGAAAATTCAAGCGGCGACATGAACCCAGACAAGCACACAATGAGTTTAGCTGAGACATGAGCAAGAAGACCGTGAAAGGAATTGATAGACAACCAGACCGGCTAATCAGCAGCCTGCAGAAGCTATTCAAGAGCAAAGAAAAAACCTCCAATAAGTAGGAGGGATTTGACAGAGAGCCAGTAAGAACTAAATAAAGGGAAGATAGGGGCTGCCAATCAGAACTAGCTGTCCAATGGATGCCTGAGGTGCGTTTTAAACATTGATGAGCATGTGTTTGAGCCAATGAGCACAAGCGGGTGAGAGGGTTCACGGAACACGCGGCAAGAATTACATTCAGTTGTCCAATAGAAGAGGACGATGTCTCTACCCCAGTGGACACAGAACTGGGAGGGCCAGATGCGCACCGAAAAGGGGGGGGAACTGAAAGAAGGCGGAACGAACTTTGACAGGCACTTAAGTCTCGCCAATCGGGTTCATAGGGGTCAGGCCGCGTCCTCATTCGACATTTGAGGGCGGGAACAAGACCAGTTCCACCGAATAGGAGGAGGCTAATCCGCAGCCCACGAGAAGGCTTTGAGGGTGCTTAAACACTCTATCCAACCACCGAGCGGGACAGAATTTGACCGGCGTTTCCCAATAGCCAATCAATCGTGAGGAGGAGGGGGGGTACAGCCTCGCTTCAGGGGCACAATGGAGGCAGAAGGGGAGGGGAGGCTGGACGGCCACTGAGTGATATCCGCCTAGTCCAACGGCGCGTCGAGGAAAGGGAGCGGGGAAGTGACAGGCTTTCAAAGGGGCCAATGGCGTGGGGGGATGTTGTGAGGCGGGTATAAGTATTAGCTGAAGAGTAAGAAACCGAGCACTCGAGTAGGCAGGTGGGTGAAAGAAAGAAAGGGGG